GCTCCATTGGAAGAGATTTGTTACCTTAGCCCACATTCCATCCCATTCTCATGGTGTTAGACCTAAGAGGGAGCCAAAAAAAATTTTTGTTTTAAATAAGGACACAGATTGACATTTAATCAAGCTTTTTAAAAAATCTTATTGTCTATCTTCTGTAGTAGAAAATCTACTACTATTTATTGTGTTTTAAATTTTTAGTGCTTTGGGAAAGTCACCAGTGCTCTAGTATAATTAGTTTTGTTCTTTTCTCTTTTTTGTACCATAGTATGAGTACCTTGAGGGTAAAAATGATACTGTATTCTTCATCTTTATAGCCTAGTCAATTTCCGGAGGTGCTCAGTTGCCCCTTGGTAAGTGTTTGTGGAATGAAAAAATAGAAGCAAGAATGAAAACAAAGCAATGTTTCTGTTGTACTCTAGCTAGTGTCATTTTCATTCTTTCTTTTCATATAATAAACACTTGAAAGCAGAAACAAGGGGCATAGAAACACCTTTATTTGTAAAAACACTTAAGAACCAAAAAAAAAGAAACAACAAACAAACTAGTTTTTGTGAGTCGATTCTGACTCATGGTGACCTCATGTGCATCCGAGTAAAACTGTGCTCTGTATGGTTTTCACAGCTGTTGCCTTTTGGATCAGGGATGCATGTTGCTAGGCCTGTCTTCTGAGGTACCTCTGGGTAGGTTTGAAACACTAACCTTTTGGTTTGTAGTCAAGCGCTTGACCAATTGGGCCACCCAGGCGCCTCACCTAAGAATAAACCAAAGCCAAACCCAGTGCTGTCAAGTTGATTCTGGCTCATAATGGCCCTATAGGACAGAGTAGAACTGCACCACAGGGTTTCCAAGGAGTAGCTGGTGGATTAGAACTGCCAGCCTTTTGGTTAGCAGTCAAGCTCTTAACCACTGCGCCACCAGGGCTCTACTTAAGAATTTAAAAAAAACCAAAAACCTGTTGCCGTCAAGTCAGTTCTGACTAATTTGACCCTAGACCATAGGACACATCATATTAGGAAAGCCTGAATTTTCTTAAAGGCGTCATATGATCAGCAATTCACACACAGGCAGGCTGAGCATATTTTTAATGGCAATTAAGAGTGAGGGAAGAAGGGATGTGAACACCAGGAGGAAATACTTGGGTGGCTGGTGTGACATCACTTTTCTTTTGGATGGAAAGTCTAAGGATGCCCAGGTTTTAAGATCTTATGGTGGTAGAATTATACTTGAGCAGTCCAAAATAATATTAATTATCTCCAGGTTCATTTGCTAATTGCACCAGGTTTGCTTAGGTGGGCCCTGGTGCCCATTTAGTTCCATCATGGAGGCTGAGTCAGGTGGCTTGGCCCTCCTGGCCTTCCACTTCTGGGAAGGAGTTATTTAAGAAAAGTTTTTTTTCCCCCTTTTCCCTTTTAGTCCTGCAGATGTTGGTAAGGAAAGAGGTAGAAGAATTTTATGAGGGAATTGGAATCTGGGATAAGAAGTCCCTGAGAAGGCTACTGCATTAAATTAATGGAACTAAAACATGATCCCCTAAAGGGAAATAGCTGCCAAACACCTTTTTTCTAAACTGCCCATGATGGTGCCCCAAAAATTTTGACTGATTGAAGAACATAATGTAATAACCTTTTCTTAAGTGTATAATCCTTGCAGAAAGCCAGATTGATAATGGTTTCCTGGCATAGCTTTTGAAGGCAAGCAGGGATGAAGTTGAAATGTTCTGTGCAGACTGGGGAAGTGGCAGGGCCTTGCAAAGAGAGGAACCAAGAACATTGTCATGTATTACCTCATTTCATCCTCACAAACCTCCTATGAACAAAGTCTTATTGATCTGTTTTCAAGTTCGTGATTATTTCTTCTGCCAGTTCAGATCTGCTATTGAGCTCTTCCAGTGAAAATTTCATTTCAGTTACATGTTTTACTTTTCAATTCCCGAATTTCTATTTGGTTCTTTAACAAATTTTCTGTTTATTGATCTTCTGTATTGGATGGGAAGTAGTTCTCATACTTTCCTTTAATTCTTTAAATATGGTTTCCTTTAGATATTTGGACATATTTATCATACCTGATGTAAGGTCTTTGTCTAGTAAGTCCAACATCTGTGCTTCCTTAGAGACAGTTTCTATTGATTGCGCTTGTTCCTATGGATGAGCTATACTTTCCTGTTTCTTTGTGTGTCTTATAATTTTTTGAAAACTGGACATTTAAAATAACATTATTTGTCACCTCTGGAAATCAGGCCCCCTCCCTCCTCAAGGCTTGTTGCTACTGCTATTTGTTATTGTTGTCATTACTATTTGTTGTTGTTGCTTTTTGTTTGTTTAGTGACTTTCCTTGACTAATTCTGTAAAGACTGCATTCTTTGCCATGTGCAGAGAGTCACTGAAGTCTCTGCTCAGTTAGCTTATGGTCAGCTAATGATTGGACAGAGATTTCCTAAAATGCTTTAAGCCGGTAAGTTTTCTAGCCTTTACTGAGGAGCTCTGTGTATCTGTTGGGACATGCCCTCAGTGTTCCAGCAGATAGTTTAAAACTCTACCTTAGCCTTTACTTTTTGCTTGTGCAGAGCCACAAGTTCATCCAGAGACAAAAGCTTAGGGTCTTCTCAGGTCCTTCCTGGGCATGAGCCCTACTCTGGACGTGCAGACAGCCTAGTTCATGCACATGACCATCCCAGAAATATGTCAGAGATCTTCAAAGCACCCTGTGAACATCTGATATCCCAGTTTTTCCTTTTGATTTTTTTTTTGCTAGTCTCATGTTAGCCCCTGTGGGTAAGTTTGCCTCACACACCTGCAATGTTAAATGTTGTTGTTGTTAATTGCAGTCAATTCAGACTCATGGCAACCCCGTGTGTGCAGAGTAGAATTGCTCCATAGGGTTTTCAAGGCTGGACCTTTTGGAAGCAGATCCCGAGGCCTATCTTCTGAAGTTCCTTTGGGTGGGTTCAAACCGCCAACCTTCTCGCTAGTAGTCAAATGCTAAACCATTTGTGCCACCCAGGGACTCAGTAGTTAAATAATTGCCGCTAATTAATTTCAACAGCATGAGTAGAACTGTTGACACAGAGGGAGCTCTGAGTCAGTTCGTATAAAGACAAGCCCTGAGAATTGAGCTTTTCAGTGAGCTGCCAGACAGGTCAAATACGGACAGTCTCTGGGGATGTGGCTTGTGAGGAGCACCAAACCTGCCCCTTTAGTGGTTGCTAGGTTGCTTTTTCTCACAGCTCTCAGAGTTCTGGGGTTGTTGGCTCTTTAGCTTTCCATGGAACTAGGGAGAAGGAGATGGAATCAGGGCAGGTTGAAGTGCCACAAAGGTCACTATTCTTACTGAGTTTCAGCTGTTTTACTGGAATAAACACTCCTCAGATTGTTGCAAGCCTTTATGTAATCTACAGAGTTCTGAAAAGTTAATTTTGATAGTTTTTTGCCAGTCCTCTCACTGCTTTCATAGAGGAGCAGATTTTTTGGAGGAACTTACTCTGCCAGGAGACCCTGGGTGGTGCAAATGGTTAACACATTTGTCTGCTAACTGAAAGGCTGGAGGCTGGAGTCCACCCAGAGACATCTCAGAAGAAGGGCCTGGCAATCTATTTCTGAAAAATCAGCCATTGAAAAGCCTACAGAGCACTGTTCTTCTCTGACACACATGGATCACCATGAGTTGGAATCAACTCACAAGCAATGTGTTCTTTTTTTTTTTTTTTTTAACTCTGACATTCTGGAAATGAGGTCCCCCCCCCTTTAATCTTTTATATGTTTTGAATGCCATATGAAACAGACTTGATTTCCCACCCAATCTATAAACATTATAAGGAACTAGAACTGGGGAGATAGATGATGAAATAGTCATGGTTCCTGGCCTTGAAGCACTCACATTCTAGGGAAATGAGGCTGGGACCCAGATAACCTTCCTTAGAGGCATGATGACTTGGAAGCAGAGGGTAGGGGAGCAGACTAACTCTTCCTTAGAGGAATGAAAGCGTTCTCTGAGGAAGATGGACTTTGAATTGGGTTGTGACTTAAGAAGCCCTTAAATCCAGACATAAACATCCCTCAGTGCTGGGGAGGCTCACAGTATAAAAGGCACATGGGCCCAGAGGTCTCCTGAACAATCAGCAGAGTCCCATCACCCAGCTCCTTCTCACTCCAGGATAAGGTCATGAATGAAGTGTGGGTGGGACGTCAATAGACAGATATGGTGAGAATGGCACCCCAGCAGTGGGGACAGTGTAGGCACAGGGAGGTAAAGATTCAGAGAGTTCAAGCTGAAGCACTTGGACTTTTATGAAGGCAGTCGCTGTTGGTGTTAGCTGCTGTCCAGTTGGCTCCAACTTATGGTGACCTCATGCACAATGGAACAAAATGCTGCCTGGTCCCCATGATCTGTTGCAGATTGGACTGTTGCGACCCATAGGATTTTTAATAGCTGATTTTCAGAAGTAGATTGTTAGGCCTTTCTTCCTAGTCTGTCTTAGTCTGGCAAGCCTTCACTTAACAGACTGGTGATGGTTGTGAATGAGGTGCCTTGGCTGGGAACCACACTTGGGTCTCCTTCATGGAAGGTGAGAATTCTACCACTGCACTGTTACGAAGGCAGCAGAAATCATGAAATGTTTTTATGCAGTGTGTAATGTGAGAAAGGGAAAACTAATTGTTTTTATAGGTTCTTCTAAATTTTATTTAACACTTAGGTAACCAAGTGTTAAACTGACACTTTAGCCCTGACATCTGACAGACACAGATCTGAATCTTGGCTCTTCCACTTTGCCAACTGTGTGAGCTAGGGAAGGCCATCTGAACCTCACTAAGCCTCTGTTGCTTCGTCTGTGCAGCAGGGAGGATACTGCTCATCTCATAAAAATGTTGTACGTATTAGATGAGATTATATGCATCAACTACCTGGCACAAAGTAGATGCTTCCCAAAAGAGATCTTTGTTTTTTGTAGTTATACTCCAAAATATGTTTAAAATCTAATTATCCATGTTTTGTTTTACTCACAGAGATAAGAATTGCCAGAAGATATGGAATGCTTTCAAAAATTCATTTATTTCCAAGGATACTTGCAACATTACAGAAGAAGACTACCAACCATTAATAAAGCTGACCACTCAAACTTTACCTTGCAACCAGGTAACTGGGTCAAATGAGTGATTTTAAAACTGAGGATAAAAGACAGAGGGAAGAGGCACAGGACCAGATTTTGACTAGGATGAGGGTAGAGAAAATCCCCAGGCATTAGACTGTGGGTGTGGTTGGGAAGGGATGGTATTTGTGGGGCCATTGGGGGAGCAAAGTTTAGGTTATCTGGGAGAGAGAGAAATGGGGATATGGGAAGAGGAAGGGAGAGCTGAGCAAAAATCAGACAAAACAAACCTAACACCAAACTCAACACAAACCAACAAGTAAACCAAAATATTCCAATCTTATGTAAGTACAAATCTTTTTTCTGGTCTCTGATAATAATGATACCAGTGTGCATTTGCAGTATGCTTTTTTACTTACAAAGGACTCTCCTAACAATTATCTGTAGGAGTCTGGGTGGTGCAAGTGGTTTGCCATCTGTTGCTCACCTAAAAGGTTGGCAGTTGGAACCCATCCAGTGGCACCACCGAAGAAAGGCCTGGAGAACTGCTTCTGTAAAGATTACAGCCAAGAAAATCCTAGGGGAGAGTTTTACTCTGTAATACATGGGATCACCATGAGTCAGAAGGGACTAGAGGGTAATGGGTTTTGTTCTGTTAAGCATTATCCTCTTAGGTCTTCATAGCCATCCTGTGAAATGGGCATGTCAGGCTTCAGCATCTCCGTTTCACCAGTGAGAAAGCCGAGCTTGAGTTTAAGGTTACCAGTGATTGCCCAAGTTCAGCAGGCTTGAAAGTGACTGGTTGAATGAAAATGACATAAGATTTGTAGCTAGAGCGTCCTGGGTTTGAATATATTGAGTATACTGGAACAGGTATGTGAATGGAGTGCATCTTTTGTAAAGTCAGTGCTTAAGGTGGAAGTTCAATGTACTCAAAATCACAGTTGAGAAGCCTTCAAATTCATCCTCACATTACAGCTTCTTTTCCCGTTGTTAGCAAGCTGGAGTTATTATTGCAGTCCACCTTGGTGTAGCAAGCACAATGCCCTATAAAGAGCAGGGGCTTGGTAAATAATAACCCAGACTAACATTTGTTTAAATACGTGACTATACAATAGACACTGTGCTAAGCAATTCACTTGCATGATCTCATTTAATCTCCCCATCGTCCTATAAGTTTGGAATAATTATTATCATCACCATTTTATAGATTAGGAAAGTGAGGTTTGGCAGCAATGCTTCAGTTGCTGAAGGTCAGAAAGCTAATAAGTGGTGATGCTAGGCTTCAATAAGGCAGCACAACTCCAGAGCCTAGCCTTTTAACCACTGCCCTCCACTGCCTCTGTGAAGAATGACGGAATGACGAAAGATTGATGGAGCAGAACCTTGTTCTGAAATTTGTCTTTCTGTACTTTTAAGAGGGACCCTGAGAAACACCTACTGTACTTTTTCTGTTTTGGGGCAGGGAGGGGTGGTGGTGGTGGGGAAGATTTGGGGGAAGAAGAGGGGATTATGGAGCTTCAAAGAGTACTTCTCCCAGAAGATAGCATGTAGAATTTTTTCCCCAAAATTATTTCGGGAATTTGGGAACTCCCTAATGCCTCCTCCAGATGTGGTCTGATTCCAGGTTTATTATAAGGTCTGCATCAGTGGCTTTCAGACATTTTTTACTTCACCCAGAATCATAAGAAATACGCACATATACTTGCTGTCTCTCTTTCTTTCACACACACGCACAGACTCTCTCCCTCTCTCCTTTTCTCTTTTACACACACACACAACATACTCTACACATACACACATGCATGCGTGCTCTCTCTCCCTTTCTTTCACACACACACACAAAACACATGCCCCACGCACATGCACACACACAAGAACACTCCACATATACAGTTTCTCTTTTACACTACACTACACACACATATACACACACACAAAGCAATGTTACACAAAACAACACTCTTACTACATGTGAATTACTCTGACATTTGTTTTCTTTCATTTACAAAAATGTAGATTGTTTTTACCTACTAAGTTGATTTCAGCAATGTTGTTGTTGTTAGGTGCTGTCAGTCAGTTCCGACTCATAGCGACCCTATGTGCAACAGAATGAAATGCTGCACAGTCCTGCGCCATCCTCACAATCGCTGTTCCGCTTCAGCCCATTGTTGCAACCACTGTGTCAATCCATACCGTTGAGGGTCTTCCTCTTTTTCACTGACCCTCTACTTTACCAAGCATGATGTTCTTCTCCAGGGACTGGTCCCTCCTGATTACATGTCCAAAGTACATGAGATAAAGTCTCACCATCCTTGCTTCCAAGGAGCATTCTGTCTGTACTTCTTCCGAGACAGATTTGTTTGTTCTTCTGGCAGTCCGTGGTATATTCAGTATTCTTTGCCAACACCATAATTCAAATGCATCCATTCTTCTTTGGTCCTCCTTATTCATTGTCCAGCTTTTATATGTATACGAGGTGATTGAAAATATCATGGCTTGGGTCAGGCGCACCTTAGTCATCAAAGTGACATGTTTGCTTTTTAACACTTTAAAGAAGTCTTTCGCAGCAGTTTTTCCCAGTGCAATGGGTCGTTTGATTTCTTGACTGCTGCTTCCATGGGTGTTGATTGTGGATCCAAGTATAATGAAATCCTTGACAACTTCAATATTTTCTCCATTTATTGCGATGTTGCTTATTGGTCCAGTTGTGAGGATTTTTGTTTTCTTTATGTTAAGGTGTAATCCATACTGAAGGCTGTGGTCTTTGATCTTCATTAGTAAGTGCTTCAAGTCCTCTTCACTTTCAGCGAGGAAATTTGTGTCATCTGCATATCACAGGTTGTTAATGAGTCTTCCTCTAATCCTAAAGTCACAATCTTCCTCATATAGTCCAGCTTCTTGGATTATTTGCTCAGCATACAGATTGAATAAGTATAGTGAAAGGATACAACCCTGACACACACCTTTCCTGGTTTTAAACCATGTAGGATTCCCTTGTTCTGTTCAAAAGACTGCCTCTTGGTCTATGTATAGATTCCTCATGAGCGCAATTAAGTGTTCCGGAATTCCCATTCTTCCCAATGATATCCATAATTTGTTATGATCCACACAGTTTGCATAGTCAATAAAACATAGATAAGCGTCTTTCTGGTATTCTCTGCTTTCATTCAGGATCCATCTGACATCAGCAATGATATCCCTGGTTCCATGTCCTCTTCTGAATTGGGCTTGAATTTCTGGCAGTTCCCTGTCGAGGCACTGCTATGATTGCTTTTGAATTATCTTCAGCAAAAATTTCAATAACAGGTTGTTGTGTATTCTTTCTTAGACCCTCTTTTGGAGCAAAACAAATGTCCTGGTCCATCGGTACACAAAGGCCCAGAAGGAGCTGTTCACCCTGGAGGACACACTACTGGGCTACATGGCTGATGACCTCATTTGGTGCGGAAGCTCAGGCAATTCTGGTGAAGATCTGGGCCCCCTGGGACTGCTGGGAGCTGCTAGGTGAAGGTGCCCTGAGATCTGCTACGGGCTCTGAAGGATCAGTGTGGAGGAAGGAGCCACAGGCACCTACCCTGATGCCATTGATACCCTTGGTGACAACTCAAAACAAAGCAAACCGAGAAACCAAACCAGTTGCCATTGAGTAGATTCCTACTCATGATGACCCCATGTGTATCAGAGTAGAGCTGTGCTCCATAGGGTTTTCAGTGGCTGATTTTTCACAAGTAGATGGCCATGCCTTTCTTCCAAGGTGCCTCTGGGTGCACTTGTACCTCCAGCCTTTCAGTTAGCAGATGAGCTCGTTAACTGCACCACCAGGGATAACACTGACAACTCAGGCAGGTGTAAAAGTAGCATTTCCTTGAACAATGACTATTTCTTTGAAAAGTTGGCTTAGAGTTTGGGGTTGCCCATTCCCTCCTTGTTTCTGAGTGCTCGTGGAGCCTGCTTCTGATTCTTGGTATTTTGCTTTCTATAAGGACGTCATTCAGGACCAAAGAATTCTAGAACACGATGAGGCCTCACAGGGACCAAGGCCAAAGTCCTTGGTCACAGAACAGCCACGGCAGCCATGGGGTAGGCTCCTGTCATCTCAGGTCAGGGGGTGGCATTCTTGTCTTTTTCAGATGTCACCTTGCCTGCCTCAAAAGACCCATCACACCTTACTGTGGGAAGGGGTTTTCTACTTAAGAATTTTTTATCTTTTTACTTACATTGTGGACATTCTCACTTTATCTTATTTTATTCTTATTTTTATTGCTTTTGACTGTTTTTAAAAGCTTATCTTATTGTAGCTTCTTTCCCCTAATTTGTATTACTTCAATTCTATTTTCATCTAGAGTTCTTATTTTTGTAATGTTTAAGTTAATCTTTAACTCGCTTCTTCCCATCCAGAAATATGGTATATGAATATATATCTCCATTTATTTGTTTTCTTTTTAGTTAAGTTTTATGGTTTTCTCTATATTCCTGCTTTCCTTTCTTAATTTCCCTTTTTACAAGTTAGCTTTTTCTGGCCATTTATTTAACTCTTTCAGCTTTAAAATTTGTTTGCTGTCAACTTTTTCTCTTCTTTTCTTCTTCAATTCATCCTCTAAATACTTTCTTGGTATAAAATGGAGATATAGATAATACAACAATCTATTTCTTATTTATTTACATTATACTTCCTTATTATTGCTTTTCTTTAAATTGAACCTTGTATATGTTATCTCCACCACTCCTCTGTCAGTTTGTTGTACTGTGGTAGCTTGTGTGTTGCTCTGATGCTGGAAGCTATGCCACCAGCATATCAAGTACCAGCAGGGTGACCCATGGTAGACAGGTTTTAGCTGAGCTTCAAGACTAAGACAGACCTGGCTGTCTACTTCTAAAAAGAATTAACCAGTGAAAACCTTATGAATAGCAGTGGAACATTGTCTGATGTTGTGCCAGAAGATGAGCCCCTCAGGTTGAAAGGCACTCAAAAGATGACTAGGGAAGCGCTTCCTCCTCAGAGCAGAGTCAACCTTAATGATGGGGATGGAGTCAAGCTTTCAGACCTTCATTTGCTAGTGTGGCATGACTCAAAATGAGAAGAAACAGCTGTAAACATCCATTAATAATCAGAACTTGGAATTATGAAATATGAATCAAAGAAAACTGGAAGTTGTCAAAAATGAAATGGAACGCTTGAAGATCAATATGCTAAGCATTAGTGAGCTGAAATGGACTGGCATTGGCCATTTTGAATCAGACAATCATAGGGTCTACTATGACAGGAATGACAACTTGAAGAGGAATGGCATCACATTCATCATCAAAAAGAACATTTCAAGATCTATCCTGAAGTACAATGCTGTCAGTGATAGGAAAATATCCATACACCTACAAGGAAGACCATTTAATTCGCCTATTATTCAAATTTATGCACCAACCACTAATGCCAAAGATGAGGAAGTTGAAGATTTTTAACAACTTCTGTGGTCTGAAATTGATCAGACATGCAATCAGGATGCACTGATAAGTATTGGTGATTGAAATGCGAAAGTTGGAAAAAAGAAGAAGGAATAGTAGTTGGAAAATATAGCCTTGGTGATAGAAACAACATGAAAGATCGAATGATAGAATTTTGCAAGACCAATGACTTATTAATAGCAAATATCTTTTTTCAACAACATAAACAGCAACTGTACACGTGGACATTGCCAGAAGGAATACATAGGAATCAAATTGACTACATCTGTGGAAAAAGACAACAGAGAAGCTCAGTATCATCTGTCAGAACAAGGCCAGGGTCCAGCTGCGGAACAGACCATCAACTGCTCATATGTAAGTTCAAGCTAAAGCAGAAGAAAATTAGAGTAAGTCCACAAGAGCCAAAGTCCGACCTTGAGAAAGTCCCACCTGAATTTAGAGACCATCTCAAGAATAGATTTGACACACTGAACACTAATGAATGAAGACCAAATTAGTTGTGGGATGACATCAAGGACATCATATCTGAAGAAAACAAAAGGTCATTGAAAAGATAGGAAAGAATGAAAAAGACCAAAACGGTTGTCAGAAGAGACTCAAACTTGCTCTTGAACATAGAGTAGCAAAAGTGAATGGAAGAAATGATGAAGTAAAAGAGCTGAACAGAAGATTTAAAAAGGCAGCACAAGAAAACAAAGTAAAGTTTGATCACAAAATGTGCAAAGACCTGGAGTTAGAAAATCAAAAGGAAAGAACACGCTTGACATTTCTCAGACTGAAAGAAGTGAAGAAAAAATTCAAGCCTTGAGTTACAATTCTGAAGGATTCTATGGGCAGAATATTGAACAATGCAAGAAGCATCAAAAGAAGATGGAAGGAATACACAGAGTCACCATATCATTTCAGATGGTAGCATATCATCAAGAACTGATGGTATTGAAGGAAGAAGTCCAAGCTGCACTGAAGGCATTGACAAAAACCAAGGCTCCAGCAATTGACAGAATACCAATTGAGATGTTTCAACAAATGGATGCAGCCCTGGAGATGCTCACTTGTCTATGCCAAGAAATTTAGAAGACAGCTACCTGACCAGCTGACTGGAAGAGATCCATTCCAAAGATTGGTGATCCAACAAAATGTGGAAAATATCAAACAATATCATTAATATCACATGCAAGTAAAATTTTGCTGATGATCATTCAAAAACTGTTGCAGCATTACACAACAGAGAACTGCCAAAAATTCAAGCCCGATTCAGAAGAAGACATGGAAATAGGGATATCATTGCTGATGTCAAATGGATCTTGGCTGAAAGCAGAGAATACCAGAAAGACGTTTACCTGTGTTTTATTGACTATGCAAAGGCATTTGACTGTGTGGATAATAACAAATTATGGATAACTTTGCAAAGAATGGGAATTCCAGAACATTTAATTGTCCTCATGAGGAAACTTTACATAGACCAAGAGGCAGTTTTTCAAAAGAACAAGGGGATACGCATGGTTTAAAGTCAGGAAAGGTGTGTGTCAGGGTTGTATCCTTTCACCATGCTTATTCAGTCTGTATACTGACAAATAATCTGAGAAATTGGACTATATGAAGAAGAACAGGGCATCATGATTAGAGGAAGACTAATTTACAACCTGTGATATGCAGATGACACAACCTTGCTTGCTGAAAATGAAAAGGACTTGAAACACTTACTAATGAAGAATAAAGACTACAGCCTTCAGTATGGATTGCACCTCAACATAAAGAAAACAAAAATCCTCACAACTGGACCAATAAGCAACATCATGATAAATGGAGAAAGTATTGAAGTTGTCAAGGATTTCATTTTACCTAGATCCACAATCAATGTCCATGATAGCAGCAGTCAACAAATCAAACAACGTATTGCATTGGGCAAATCTGCTGCAAAAGACCTCTTTAAAGTGTTAAAAGCAAAGATGTCACCTTGAGGACTAAGGTGTGCCTGACCCAAGCCATGACTTTTCAATTGCCTTATATGCATGGGAAAGCAGGACAATGAATAAGGAAGATTGAAGAATTGATGCCTTTGAATTACGGTGTTGGTGAAGAATACTGAATATACCACGGACTGCCAGAAGAATGAACAAATCTGTCTTGGAAGAAGTACAGCCAGAATGCTCCTTAGAAGCGAGGATGATGAGACTTGGTCGCACATACTTAGGACATGTTATCAGGAGGACGTGTTATCCTTAAACTTTAGAATTTATTTAATGGCATGTTTTCATAATGGCAGGCAGCAAGAGGGAAAAATGCTAGTCGGGAGAGGAGAGGTTACAAACTGGGAGACTCTTTTGTTCCAGATGTGATTGTGAAGATAAAATAGGTTTATGCTGTTGAGACCACCATCCATTCGTTAATTGTTGTACTGAGGTAGTTTTTGTGTTACTATGATGGTGAGAGTTATGCCACCAGTATTTCAAATACCAGCAGAGTCACCCATGGTGGACAGGTTTCAGTGGCACTTCCAGACTAAGACTATGAAGAAAGGCCTGGAGGTCTACTTCTAAATATTAGCCAGTGGAAACCCTATAAACCACAATAGAACATTGACCAACTCTCTTGCTTTGGACACATCATCAGGAAGGATCAATTGCTGGAGGAGGACATCATGTGTGGTGATATAGAGAGCCAGCGAGGACTAGGGAGATTCTTCATGAGATGGTTTGTCACAATAGCCAGAATGATGGACTTGAACATGCTGGTGATCATGAGGATGATGCAGGACCAGGCAATGTTTCATTCTGTTGTACATAAGGTGGCCGTAAGTCATAGTCTACTCCACAGCAGCTATCTCTCTTTCATCTATCCATCTATATCTATCTGTCTGTCTATGTATCTATCCTCTCTACGTCTCTGAGTACCTATAAACAGTAAAGCACCTTATAAAACATATGTTCATTTCATCCTCATTAACATTTTTGCCAGTATTGAGAGATGATTCAAATTTATCTTTTGAAACTACAGGAATTATTCTTGTCTACACATGAAAAGGAGACCCTGGGTAGTGCAAATGATTAAGTGCTTGACTACTAGCTGAAAGTTTGGTGGTTTGAACCCACCCAGAGGGACTTAGTAATACAGGCCTGATGAGCTGCTTCTGCAAGGTCACAGCCTTGAAAACCCTGTGGAGCACAGTTCTACTCTATACACATGGAGTTGCTAAGAGTCAGAACTGACTTAATGACAACTAATAACAACAACAAAAATACTCGGAAATGTTTCTGTTTTTATTCATGTGATTTTTATTTTAAAGCATTTAATTACTATAAAAATCCCAGTACATCATCCCAGGAAGAGTTATGATTTAGAGCTTTCCTTGCCCGCATTGGTGGCACTTGTCAAGGAGTAAAACTGCGTACTCTGTTTAAAGTAAAAGCAAGGAGATTTATTGAAGGGTCGAAACAGTTCAAACCAGGGACATGTTAGATCTCACAAAGTGAAATCCAACACTCTGAAGAAGTGAAAGCAAGTGGGTACTTTTATATGGTGGAATCGAGAACTAACAGTACAAAATTCTGATTGGTGCTTAATGATTCAGGGGTGTGGAAGACTGGCTCATTCGGAGCAGGGAAACTTCTATGATGGGATTAAGGAGTATACGTATACTTTGTTGATTGGTTACTAAGCTATTTGTGTTAAGGCTCTCTGGTAACATGCTGAAAATACTTTTTTCTAGCTTGGTTACAAAGAAAAACATTTCCTTAACGTTATCTCTTAGCTTGGTTACAAAGACAGACATTTCCTTAGATACCAGATTAAGTCTGTAAAAAGGTTAACTTCTTAGAGTAGATCAGGCTTTCCAAAATTCAGTTTGGAAAGTTCAGGCCCAGAGGCAGCCATCTTCTAGCTATATCAAATGACCCAAAGAGTTTGAATTTAGGGTGCTCTTTCTCACACTTGATACCCAAGCTCACATTTGCGTCTAGAGATGGAAATAGAATGATGGGTGTTTCTCTAGAGTCAGCTCTACACGTTGTTGTTGTTAGCTGCTGTTGAGTTAGCCCCCAACTCGTGGTGACGCATGCACAATGGAATGAAACTCTGGCTGGTCCTGTATCATCCCCATGACTGGTTATAGATCAGATCACTGTGATCCATAAGGTTTTCATGGACTGATTTAAAAAAAAAAAAAAAGATTGCCAGGCCTTTCTTCCTAGTCCATCTGGAAGCTCTACTGACACTGTTTAGAATCATAGCAATACAGAAGCCTCCATGGACAAATGGGTGGTGGCTGCACATGAGGTGCATTGGCAGGGAATCGAACCTGGGTCTTGGGCATGGAAGGCGAGAATTCTACCACTGAACCACCATTGTTTCCCACAGAGGAAATAGGCAACTGCCACACTGCCTGACTTCTGGGGCACAAGAAAGGGTCCCAAGTCCTTGTTCACTGTACCTCCCTTACCCGCCTAGTGATGTAAAGTTGAGATAAGACATTCCCAGATTCTGTGCTCTTTCTTACTCCCTTAAATCCAATCAGTCACCTCCTAACCTACTTACGGAGTAATTCATCTTTTCCTTTCTACCCCCACTGCCACTTCCCAGTGCACTACACACTCTCGTTCCTTGTTTGGACTATTGTAGTCACTCCTCACCTCTTTAAATCAGCCTCCATTTAGCCCCCACTGTGTTCTTCCTAAGCGAAAATGTGGCTGCATCTAATTTCCACCTACAACCCTAAATGGCTCTTTTGCTTCTGGGATAAATTCCAAATTCTTTGCCATGGCCAACTCTGTCTTCCATATGACTTGTCTTCCAGCATTTCCCTCTTCACCTCTGATTCTCTGGAGTACCCATCTAAACCCATCCGGCTGTCTCACAGCTCTGCGCCTTTGCACATGTTCTCTCTGCGTGGAGCGCCCTCTTCTCTCACATCTGGCCGAAGACTCCTATTCATCCTTCAAAACCAAGCTCAACATCACCACCTCTAGGAAACCTTTCCTGATGGTGCTGCAACTCCCCACCTCCCCAAGTTAATCTTTCTCTCCTGTGAACCTTAGACTGCTGCCAGATAGTATTGTGATTTATTTGATTACATGTCTGTCTTCCCCTCTAGATCACAAGTTCTGTGAGGGCAGGGCCCCTCTCTTATTCACCTCCCCACCTGCAGGATCTAATGCTCAATAAATGTTTGTGCATTCAGGCAAACATCCTTGGGAGGAGGAACACAGAAGCTATGCATCCATGCTCTATTGTACCTCAGTGAAGTCATAGCCTATCTTGATGGGGGTGGATATAGAAAGACTTTGAGACCATCTGAGCCTAAAGGTGTGGAGCTGAAGTAGGAGGGGGAGGAAAGTGTTGAGAGAGAGAGAGAGACTGAGTGAGAGAAAGAGTTGGCAGGAAGCAGGGAAATGGTGAGAGAACATCCCCTGAGGACTCAGTTTCACCTCTAATTCTCCTTGGACTCAGGAATAATGCTGGGGGCTTGTCTCTGTCAGGTGAACTTTTGTTGTGATCTCCTAGAATGATGACTCAAAACTGGTCCCTATGTTCCTGTCTGGGGCTTGGAGTGTAAGGTGAGGACTTGGAAGGGATTCAGGGGGCACTTAGTTAAATTGCGTTGAGATGTGTCCACTCCATCTTCCATCTTGGCAGTGCTGCCATTTGAAAATGGTTCCACTGTGATTGAATAGCTAGGGAAGAAGGGAGCTTATTTATAACCTTTATTTTCCATTTTAACTATGTCTTTTAGAAATGAACTATCAATCTTGCCCAAGTCGGATGGAAAACTGCAGCAACAGCCCCGTTTTTGTATTCTGGAAGACAGTGTCCAAGAAGGTCAGTGGCAAGCAGTAAAATTCTAGAATTTTGGAGACCCAAGAGCTTAAGAGGTCATCCAGTCAAGTAGCTGGTTCTTCATCTTTTTTGGGGGGGGTCACAGATCCTTTTAGGAATGAAAGTTTAAGATCCTTTCCTGAGGAAAAAGTTCATAAGTGCATGCCAGAAGATATTCATATACAATTTCAGTGTGTTCATGAAGGGTCCATGGGGGCCAAATGAAGAACCTCTGCTCTTACCAACTGTTTGATTTTGGCTGCCAAGAAGCTGGAGGATTGGTTTAATCCTCCCATCCAGGTATCGGAGCCTGGTGCCATAGTGGTTAAAGAGTTCAGCTGCTAACTAAGAGGTCAGCAGTTCAAATCCACCAGCTGCTCCTTGGAAACCCTATGGGACAGTTCTACTCCTCATATAGGGTCACTATGAGTCGGAATCGACTCAACGGCAACAGTTTTTTTTTTTTTTTTTTTTTAATCCAGGTATTATCAGCCAATCACAGATTCCTGGGAAAGTCTTAATAATCTATATTTATAGACCACTTACTATATGGCAGGCACAGTACTCAGCTCTTTGCATGCTTTAATATCTTTCATCCTCACAAGACTTTTATGAAATAGTTTCCATGATTATAATGCCAATTTTATGGATGACAAAGTGGAGGTGCAGGTAAATAAGCGATCTGCTAAATGTACACAGTAAGAGGTAGAGCTGGAAGTTTAACCCACGTTGTCTGACTCCAGATGCAGAAGCTGGGCTAGGAGATACTGCCCATGTCCCTCTCCATCTCCCTATTTCTGACTTCACTCTAAGTAACCTTTTTGCACGTTTATTTTTCGTATCTGTTACTCAACTCCTTCTTTCCAAGTGAACAAGGAAAGAAAGACGAAGAAAGGAAGAGACAAAGAAATGAAGGAAAGATGAAGAAAGTATAAAAGCACTCATTATAATTTTAATGATTTAAAATTATTATAATTAAATTTAAACTTCTGAGGAGCTGGGGCAAGTAGATATTTGTGCCTGTTAAGTCATATTTGCGACAAGCCCTGGGCCAGCTTCCTTACCCATGCCACCTCATTTAGTCCTTGCAGTAGTATATGATATGAGATGGTACAAATCCCCATTTTCCAGGTGAAGAAACTTGTGCTCAGAGGTTAAATGATTTGTTCAAGGTTTCTTGACTAAGAAGTAGCAAAACTGAGAGCCTAACTTTGGTCTGATTCCAAAGCCATGCTTTTCCATTTTGTTTTCTGAATCTGCTTGCTGGTTCTGTCTTTTAAATGGCAGCTGTGGTCTTCTTTAACTTTCTGTTGGTACCTAACTAAACCTCCACCTTAAGGGGCTTCAGGTAAATCTTGGTATCGTGGAGACAGAGACACAGCACAGAATTTGAAATAAGGAGACCATGTTTAAACTTGGGCAGATGCTTTAACCATTGAGCTTCAGATTTCCCCTTTTGTGAAACAGGGATAAAAATAATGCCTGTCCCACAGGGTTACTGCAATGTTTAAACAAGTTGCCACTATTCCATTAAATAACTAGAGTCTATTCATTTGTTGAACACCTACTGTGAAAACTGAGGAGCACTATATAGGTTTCCTGTTTGCACTTTCCAAGAAGTTTCTATTTGTTTTATCATTTATGATAGTTTTGGGGCATTACTGTGGCTAAAAACTTTTAAACGTTGAGTCACATTTCTAGGAGTCCCTGGGTGGCACAAATAGTTAAGTGCTCAGCTACTGACTGAAAGGTTGGTGGTTTGAATCACCTGGAGGTGCCCTGGAAGAAAGGTCTGGTGACCTACTTCACTGGAAAGCCTATGGTGCATCGTTCTACCCTGAAACACAGGAAGTCACCGTGATTCGGAATTGACTCAACAGCAACTGCTGTTTTTTTTTTTTTTTTTTTTTTTTTTTTTTTATGCGCCCACTCTGACCTTGGAGCTAAAAGCACAATGGTGAAGGGGATAGAAGCCCCTCTGCCCTTATGATGTAATTAGGGGCTTGCACCTTATCGTTGTCAAATGCTCATGGCAGCCTAGACTCTTTCATTTTATCACAATAGAGGCAGCGCTGCCTGGTGGTTTGAATCCCCACCTCACCTCCCCGCCTCTAATTTGAGGTAAATTGATCCAATGCATCCTTTGTCTGGGCTTTTTCAAGAGTGATGCCTCTCAGGCTCAGTGCTTGGAGCCCTGTGAGCCCACTGTGGAGTCAGCGCTTGTGATCAATAGTAACAATCGGGCCTCTGCTCTCTGCTCAGAAACAGCATTGGATTTTCACAACCCACTGTTTCAAATCTTTCAGTGGTTTCTTAGAGCCTGCAGAATAAAGTCCAGACTCCTCGGCAAGGCTTCACGGCTCTCCATTGACTCACTTATCTACCCAGCTTCGGCATCTGCTGACATTTCCCCAAAGACTCCATTGTTCCCTCAAACCTTTAGGCCTTTCCATTGGCAGCTGCCTTTGCCTGGTGAGCTCCTTTGGGATGTGGCTTGTGATAGCCTCCATTACGTTTTGTCTGGTTCTTTCTTAATCTCCATCCCAGAGTATTGGACTTCCTGATTACTACTTTCCTCCGTCCCTCCCTCCCTTCCACAGAGCGCCATGCGCTGGGTAGCAGGCACCAGGGCTGTAGTCACAAGCGGGGAGGCCAGGCTCTTAGTGCCCATGGCTAAAATGACATTAGGCTGGTCATTACAGTGTGATGTAGCTGACTGGTGAGAAGGAATGGGAGATGCTGTTGGAGCTCAGGGAAGGAGACCTGAGCTAGTCTCAGGGGTCTGGGAAGTCCTCCTGGAGGAAGCATATAGAGTGGCTTTGTCTTGTTCATTTTATTCCTCCCCCCACCCCCCCGAAAAAAAAACAAAAACAAAAAGCAAATCCATTGCTGTCGAGTCGATTCTGACTCGTGGAAACTCTGTGTGTTACAGAGTACAACTGCTCCATAGGATTTTTGTGTCTGTAGTCTTTATGTAAGCAGATTACCAGGCCTTTCTTCTACAGCCCCACTGGGTAGGTTCCAATCCCCAACCTTTAGGTTAGTGTAAAAAAAAAAAAAAACAACCAAACCATTGCCATTGAGTCAATTCCAACTCATAGCGACCCTATAGGACAGAGTAAAACTGCCCTATACAGTTTCCAAGGAGTGCCTGGTGGATTCCAACTGCGGACCTTTTGGTTTGCAGCAGTAGCTCCTAACCACTATGCCACCAGGGTTTCCTTAGGTTAGTGGTCAAGCACAAACTGTTTGCTCCACTTAGAGGCTTTGTTTTCCCAGTGCCTGGTCAGTACCTAGCAAATATTCTAAGTGAATGTTTGCTGTCTGGCAAAATGATACTCCTTGCCCAGTAATATTCATTCATTCTTTCATTCTCCTTTCTCTTTGTGCCTCTCTGGTCCCAGTGTCCCCTTCTGTCTCCTCAGTTTCCTCTTTGCCAGTGTTCCTGTCTCCCTCATCTCTGAATCATCCATGACACTCCCACTAAATGGAATGTACAATGTCTTCAGGAAAGCGTGTCCATCTTCCTCCTCCAACAACGTTCCTCTCACTCACCTGGGCTTTTCTGAACCACCTGACCTTGGCAACTCCTTGAACGATGACTTTGAACCTCATCGTTCAAACTCCTTGCGGACTGGGACCACTGCTACAAGGACTCTGGTCAGAAGCACCATCCTTCCAATGGCTTGGAATGAAAATTAGACAGACCTGGCCTTCCTATGACAAAACCTCTTTCTATTCCCTCTCTAACCCATGAATGCTAAGAGCTCTTTTAGAGGGAACTGCTTGGGCATGGTGATTAAGTTTGCATGTTGAGGAATGGTGGGCCTTTTTTTTTTTCTAAGTTTGCAGAAGCTGCCTGTGGTGTGGTCCATGTGATGCTCAATGGGTCCATCAGCAGAGCCTTCGTCCGAAACAGGTATTCATTTCTTTGCATCCTATTCACAAGGGTTTTAGGGTTATCATAGCCTCCTGTTGGATATTTTATCCCTAGAAGAATATGGTTTTCATGTTTCGGTTCAGTCCTGAAGATTTGGGCTAAAAACAGTAAAATCTCTGTATTCTATGAGAGACTTGTCTTTCTCAGTCAATGCTTTTGTCTGGTTTCTCCTTTACCCCAAATCCTCAAATGGTCCCAATGGTCACTGCACTGTGTCCAGCCTGTGCCCTTGACTTTTTGAGGCCTGGTGGAATTTTCTCAGCTTTCTCTCCTTTTACCCTCCTCCTGCCAAGTCCCTGGCTTTGTTTATGCTGTGCTCCTCCCCTATATGGCCCACCTGTCCCCTCCTTTCTGCCTATCTAAATCCTTATCATCCTTGATGGTTTGGCTGGATTTGTCTCTCCTCCATGAAGTGTTTAAATCCCAGTTCAACAGTAAGCCTACTATTGAGAACATCAGGGACTCTGCTGGGCTCTTGACCTCCAATTATCTCTTTAAAAAAAAAATGATTATTTTTTTAACTTCCAATGATCTCTTTGCTGACATTACCAGCAGGCTACTGTAGTGGTTAAAAGCAGGGACGTCAGAGGCCATTATGTGTTACCTATGTGAGCCCTGGTAGTGCAGTAGTTAAGAGTTCAGCTACTAACCAAAAGGTAGGCAGTTCAAATCCACCAGCCACTCCTTGGAAACTCTGTGGGGCAGTTCTATTCTGTCCTATAGACAGGGTCTCTTTGAGTCGAAATCGACTCAGTGGCAACGGGTTTGGTTTTTTTTTTATTTTTATTTTTTGGTTTATGTGACCTTGTAGGAGCCCTGGTGGTGCAATGGATAAGCACTTAGCTGCTAACCAAAATGTTGGTGGTTGGAACCCACCCAGCGGCTCTGCGGGAGAAAGACCTGGAAATCTGATCCTGTGAAGATTACAGCCTAGAAAACCCTATGAGGGCAGTTCTACTCTGTCACATGGGGTCACCATGAGTCAAAAATCGACTTGATGGCACCTAACAACAAAAAATATGTGACCTTAGGAGTCCCGGGGTAGTGCAAATGGTTAAAGGCTCGACTGCTAATGGACAGGTTGGCAGTTTAAACTCACCTAGAGGCATCTTGGAATAAAGGCCTGGCAGTCTCCTTCCGAAAAGTCACAGCCTTGAAAACCCTATGGAGCACAATTCTACTCTGTAACACATGGAGTTGCCATTAGTCAGAATCGACTCGACGGCAATGGGTTTGTTGTTTTTGGTCCTTAGGCAGGGCACCTAACCCTGTGAGCCCAGCCCCTGTAGTATGTAGTTGACAAGGTGTTGGTGATAAGATTAGCTGAGATAATGTGTGAAAAGTGTCATGCAGTGAGCCTGACAACTTAGAAAGTGCTCGATGAGCATCAGCTATTATCATCTCATGTCATCCTCACCCCTGAATCCGGCCGCACCAATGCCTTCCTTTTCTGACCTCCTTCTACGCTTACAGTTTTTACCACCTTGCTTACCTTTTCGTTCCTTCTTCGGTTATTCCCGGATCAAGGCTGGATTGAGGGAAGGGAGCAGATACTAATTTGTACTAGACACTCTGTTGTTGTTGGTTGCCATCAAGTCGATTCCAACTTATGGCGACCCCATGTATACAGAGTAGAACTGTGCTCCATAGAGTTTTCAAGGCTGTGACCTTTTGAAAGCAAATCACCAGGCCTATCTCCTGAGGTGCCTCTGGGTGGGTTCAAACCACTAATCTTTCGGATAGTAGTCAAGTACTTAACCGTTTGTGCTACCCAGGGATTCAAAATTAATTTTTGTTCTCTATGTTTTAATATTTAATTCCACAAAGAAGTGTTTGTCTTTTTATTTTCTTCTGCCCCCTAATCTTGAGGGCCTTTGGGTGAAAGTGTTAATATGTCAGAATTTTACATTCTGGAATTAGTGATCTGTATATTTGCAACACAAGTGGCAGCTATCAGAGAGAAATAGGGAAGAGCTGGAGGTTGGGATTTGGGCAGGACACCACGGTCATTAAAAGCAGTGCTTCACAAACTTTACCGAGCAGGTCAATCACCTGGAGATTGTTAAAATGCAGATTCTGATTCTGCAGGTGGTGATGGGGGCTGAGATTCCGCAGTTCTAACTAGCTCCTGAAGTCCCTGGGTGGTGCAAATGGTTAGTGCACTTGGCTGCTAATTTGATTCCACTCAGAGGTGCCTCAGAAGAAAGGCCTGGTGATCTACTTCTGCATAATTAGCCTTTGAAAACCCTATGGAGCACAGTTCTACACTGACACACGTGGGATCACCATGAGTTGACATCAGCTCCATAGTAACTGGTTTAACTGGTGGTGTTTATTATGCTGCTCCAAAAACCACACTTTAAATAGCAAGTCTTTAAAAAATCAATGTCAGTATATAGAAAAGAATCTTTTCTTCCTGTTGTCCTCCACTGAAAGTCACATTGAATGACCACTGAAAGGGTGGTTCTAACAGTGGCCTGCTGGCTGTTGGTTTTTGGCAGTGGCTACGGATGCATGGATGCTTTAGTTTGGGCTTGACAATGTTCTTTGTCTCTTCTATTTTAGCATTTTTGGAAGTATAGAGGTCATGAATTTGCATCAGGAGAGAGTTCATTCACTACGTGCCTGGGTGATGCATGACATTGGAGGAGATTTCAGGTATATTTTATTGCTTTGTGCCCATACAGTGTCAGCATTATTTTATGATCTGTCCATGAAAGATTCCACAGTCACACGAATGCATTGAGAACAGACTGGCTTGGGAAATTAATGGGACCTTGCTCTACATTTAAGGAGTCCCTGGGTGGTGCAAAAGGTTAAGTTTTTAAGTGCTTGGCTGCTAACTGAAAAGTTACTGTTTGAATCCACCTGTAGATGCCTCAGAATAAAGTCCTGGTGATCTACTTCTGAAAGATCATAGCCATTGAAAACCCTACGGAACACAGTTCTACTCTGACACACATGGGGTCACTGTGAGTTGGAATCAACTCAGTGGCAACTGGTTTTACTCTACATTTAGCCAATATCTATGGCCTCTTAATATTACCTCTGTAATAGGAATCGGGGGCCCTGGTGGTGCAGTGGTTAAGAAACTGGCTGCTAACCAAAAGGTCAGCAGTTCGAATCCACCAGCTGCTCCTTGGAAACCCCATGGGGCAGTTCTACTCTGTCCTAATAGCATCGCTATGAGTCAGAATTTGCTCAATAGCAATGGGTTTGTTTTTTGTTTTTGTTTTTTTTTAATAGGAATCTGGGCACAGTGATGGTTCAGTGGTAGAATTCTCACCTTTCATGTGGGAGACTCAGTGTTGATTCCTGGACAATGCACTTCAAACGCAGCCCCCATCTGTCTGTCATTGGAGGCTTGTGTGTTGCTATGATACTGAATGGGTTTCAGGGGAGCTTCAAGACTAAGCCAGACTAGAAAGAAAGACCTGGTGATCTTCTGAAAATCAGTCATTGAAGACCCCGTGGATCACAAAGGTCCATCCTGTTGTGCATGGGGTCGCCATGAGTTGAGGATCAAGTCAATGGCCAACCTGTGAGCTCCTAGAGACGGGCCTCTGTTTCTTTTTTCCCCAGGGCCTTGGCCACGACCTGTTACATAGAAGAGAGTCAGGGAATGCTTGCAAGATCTTGTTATTTTAATAGTTTCTTCTTTCTTTCCCAGTGACTCATGCTCGGGTTCTTCCATAAATGATCTGAGGTCAATCATGAGGGAAAAGAATATTCCATTCACCTGCCAGGATGACTACAAGTAAGTGATTTCTTCTGGAAGAAGAAATGGATGTCTTGCCATGGACCAGCACTTTCCGTTTTCCTCGACCTCCTCTGAGTCAGGAAGGCTGAGCAGATTCTTCCTGGGCCTTGTGATTTCTGGTGACCTCCTGGTGATCTCAGATGTTGATATTTATCACTTCCCCCAGACAAGTGTTTCCAGCCTATGGGCCTCATTTGGTCGCCCTTCTCCCATCTTCTTCTCCCTTCTCTGCTCACCCTAAAGGTGCAACTCTGAAGCCGACTCAGCCTTTGAAGGGGTATTTTCTGGTTTCCAGTGTAAGGGCCCCTACCTGAGGCTTACAGGACCACAAAGCATCAAGAAAGCAAAAATGCATTTTGCCAACCCTTTCTCGAGCACAGTTCTCAAGACCTCATGACTTGACATACTTCTGCATCTTAAGTTTCTTTAGTTAGATCTTAATATAGAAGCCTAACACTTGGTAAGATACTACACAACAGTCTACCTAGCTTTATCTCTTTTTTATTGTACTTTAGATGGGGGCTTACATAGCAAACTAATCTTTCACTAAACAATTAATGCACAGATTGTTTTGTGACTTTGGTTGGCAACCCCATGACATATCAATGTTCTCCCCTTCTCAATTTTGGGTTCCCTATTACCAGTTTTCCTATCCTTTCCTGCCTTCTTGTCCTTGCCCCTGGGATGATATGCCCGTTTAGTCTCCTTTTGTTTTATGGTCCTGTCTAATCTTTGACTGAAGAGTGAACCTCAGGAGTGACTTCATTACCGAGCTAATAGGGGCCGTACTCTTGGAGTTTCTCTCGTCTCCGTCAGACCAGTAAGTCTGGTCTTTTTTTTTTTTTTTTTTTTGTTCTACGTTTTTCTCCAGCTCTGTCCAGGA